ATGCCAAAAATCATTAGGATATTAAGTAAAGATCATGTTCCATGAAGATATTTTGTAAATTTCCTACTGTAAATATATTAAAACTTAATTTTTTATTTGTAATATGCATTGCTAAGAACTTAATTTGGACAACTTTAAAGGCGATTTTATCAATATTTTGCTTCTTTTTGCACCCTCAGATTCCAGATTTTCAAATAGTTGTATCTCCAAATATGCCAAATATGCTCCTATCCTAACAAACCATACATTAACGGAAAGCTTACTTCTTCAGCTTTCAGATGATGTATAAATCTCATTTTCGAAAAATTGACCCTTATGACTGGTTTTGTGGCCCAGGGTCACATATAGCCTTCCATATAGTCTACGGGTGCATCTCAATAAATTAGAATGTCGTGAAAAAGTTCATTTATTTCAGTAATTCAACTCAAATTGTGAAACTCGTGCATTGAGGCAGTAATTAAAGCAAAAGGAGCCCCTACCAAGTATTGAGTACATGTACAGTAAATGAACATACTTTCCAGAAGGCCAACAATTCACTAAAACTGTTTTTTTTATTGGTCTTATGAAGTATTCTAATTTGTTGAGATAGTGAATTGGTGGGTTTTTGTTAAATGTGAGCCAAAATCATCACAATTAAAAGAACCAAAGACTTAAACTACTTCAGTCTGTGTGCATTGAATTTATTTAATACACAAGTTTCACAATTTGAGTTGAATTACTGAAATAAATGAACTTTTCCATGACATTCTAATTTATTGAGATGCACCTGTATATAGTTTAGTTGTTAATAGATGTTTAAGTTGCCAGAACCTGCTGTTTTCTTTCTATTTAATTTTTTTTTTTTCCAAAACTAGAGACATAATTTTTTTTTGTCTCTTATTCATTGTTGCAGCAAATGTGAATCTCATAATATTTCTGCAGAACATGTACACAACCAGTACATTTTATAAAATACTTTAAATGAAATTAAATAAAATGTAATTTAATTAAATCCTATTTAGACACCTATTATTAAAGGTGACAAAAATACAGATATAGTGCTAGGGTTTAAATACTGTAAACTGGGCCTGTTTGACTAAACAGTGACTTTCAATCAAACTGCTGTACAGTATAATGATACTAACGCTAGTATTTCCAGCTTGCATTGTGTGTTCATCAGTAGATTGCTAATGTTTTCAAATCCAGAGTCTCCTAGTTTATTCTCACTCAGGTCCAGCTCTCTCAGGTGTGATGGGTTTGATTTCAGAGCTGAAGTCAGGGCAGAACATCCTTCATCTGTCATATCACAGCCTCTTAACCTACATTGGGAAAAAGCAGAAATTAAAACATTCTGTAAAGACAAATGAAGAGGGATCATCTTTATTTCACCAGATCACAAAATATTCTCTCACAAAATGCTCTCTACAAGATACTGAGTATAAAGTGTCTTTGTTTAAAAACTGTCAAGGTGATTTTAAGCATTTTGTTTCTTGTATGTGAATGTTACTGACCTCAGTCTCTCCATTTTACAGCGGAAATCAATCAGTAGATCACATAAGTGCTTCACTCCTTTGTTTTCTATTTTATTTCCACTCAGGTCCAGTTCTCTCAGGTGTGATGGGTTTGATTTCAGAGCTAAAGTCAGGATGAAACACTGTTTCTCTGTAATATGGCATCCACACAGACTGAAGACAGAGAGAGAAAGAACAATGAATCAGATCTATGAAGACCATCTAGGGTTTTGGAGGATTTGGATCTTTTGCCTAACTGTAATTTGTCATTTGAAAGTCACACTTGAAATTTTCTTGAACAGCAGTTATGAAACATCAGTTCTATTCCAGGTGCATTCACTTGACATCAATTTTAAGACCGGTTCTTCAATATCAATGTCACCCTTTAGCTCAACAGGGTAAATGTGTTTAGGTCTGCTGTTCCCAGCTACATAAAGTAAGGTTTTCCTTAGTTAACTAAATTTCCTTAGTTAACTCTACATTAATGAAGAACAATACTTCTACAGCATTTTTCAAATAAAAAGTTGTATCTCTTAACATTACGCACTGTGAACTAACATGAAAAAACAACAAAAATTAAAGAAGGTTAATCTGATCCAGAGTTCATTCATTAAAGTAGTATTGTATGTGTGCTTGCTGCAATTTAAAAAATAAATGAATAAAAATTGTCCCTGAATTTAAGCAGGACTAAAGGATTAGTGTGAACGTCAGCCGATAAAGACTGTAGGCCGATCAGTACATCACTAATTTGCTTTGTTCTAAATCGGGCACTAAACTGTTTTGAGGAGTTTGTAAGTTCTGGAAGAAAACGTCTCGGTTATGTATGTAACCCTCGTTCCCTGAAGGAGGGAACGGAGACGTCACGTCGGTGACGTCACGGGACGACCAAACGACAGACACAGTGGGTGTGGCGTCAGGCCTGGAGAGGCGTTTATTCACAAAATAATATAACAAAGTGTCCAGAAAAGGGAATAAAGTGTCCAAAATAAACAGGGGATCTGGTGTCCTCGTCGTGCTGCGGGGTTAGTGAAGGTGGGGCAGTGTTCGAGTAGGAAGGGTCCAGGTAAGGGGCGGAGTCCGGCAGCCGCACACGCTCCCCTCTTGGTCCCGGGGCGTGAGGGGCGGCGGCTTCGTTCAGCAGCTTCATCCTTCTCTCTCGGCCCACGGCGCTTGAAGGGACTGGATGGCCCGGCATCCTGGCCCGACGGCCGTGTAACGCGTACGGTTCTCACTGGCTCATTCGGAACGGACCACGGGTCCGGTAGCTCACATTTTCGGCGGCACGGAGATCCCTCAACGCTCCCTTCCTGGACCCACGAGGACACCAGCGTGCATGTACGGGGAAGAGACCGGTCTCTCGATGCACCCACTCCTGTCGGGAGCCTGGTGAAGGGCGGTGATTAAGGGACGGGGTGATGATGATAATTAGGGGGAGGCAGCCGACTCGTCACACTACCAAAACGCCACGGTGGCTGCCCCTTCCAGCTCCCCTAGTAAGCAACCTAGTCCCCCCGCTGCAACTGGGGTGGAAGAAAGGACAGGGCTTACATGGAGAGAGTTTATTACTGTTGTTACACTAGACCCATACAGTAAGACTTATTGGATAACACTGGGAAAGCATACCAAGGAGGGAGGCAACACCGGCAGGAACAGCAGAGCGGAGTCTTCCAAGGAAAAGTCACGGGCTCATCAAGAGGGGAACTGTACCGTGGAAGAATACACACATGGGATCACCGTGGGGATCACAACATATGGCACCTAGCCTAGCACAGGGATTAACTAACAGGCAACTTTACAGGTGTTAGGCCTGGCGCCGGACACTCCGCCATGTACGGCTGCCTAGGGTGACGGGGAACTGAACTGAAGAGCAGAATAAGCACACGTATCCGGTCAGTAGAGGGGAATGGCGCAGCAAGCGAGACACCGAGCAGTCTCTCTGGTTCACTGGCTACTTGAGGTGAGTACACGAGAGGACACTAGCTCTACACGAAGGCTATAAAACCTAGCAAACGTGTTTGGTGTCACCCAGCCCGCAGCTCTACAAATATCTGACAGCAAGGCGCCATGCGCCAACACCCAAGAAGAAGCAACACTCCTTGTCGAGTGTGCTCTCAACCCAAGCAGGCACGGCACGCCTTGACTTTGATGCGCCAAGATGATGGCATCCACTATCCAGTGGGCCAACCTCTGCTTGGAGACAGCCTTTCCCTTCTGCTGGCTTCCGTAACAGACGAAGAGCTGCTCTGCGTACGGTCCACGTATAGGCATAAAGTGCAAACGGGACAGTTGCAGGTTCCCCACCTGATCACTGAAAGGTGTGGTGGGAACCTTGGGCACAATTCCAGGCACGATTTGTTGACCGAAAATGCATGCAGGTCCCTTACCCGCTTGATGGAAGCCAGCGCAGTTAAGAGCACTGTCTTTATAGACAGAGTTCTCAGCTCTGCATACTGCAATGGCTCAAAAGGGGCCCTCTGCAATGTCGTAAACACCAGAGGGAGATCCCAAGAGGGTACAGGATTTAGTCTCCTCGCGCCCCTCAGGAATCTGAAAATTAGGTTGTGCTTTTCCATTGCCAGCAGGACAGTGATTTCTGCCCGTAAGACAGGAGCATCGCTGGTCAGCACGGAGGTGAACTGGATGTCCCTGAACTTGGGGGGACGCCGGGTGAACTGAATCGCATAGCCGAGTCTGACGGTCCGAATGAGCCAGTGAGACGGACTGGGAAGCGCTAGCCAGGCTCCCAGAAACCGTGCAAGCAGGACCAGAGGGACCACAAACGTACCCACGGTGGGGTAGCGTGGTGGAGGACAGGGACCCGACTTGGAAGGCATAGTGTCCCGAAGTGGGGTCTGGGCGTGCGGTGCAACACCTACCTGGCTCCACGATTGGGCAGGGGGCGAGAGAAAAGGCTCCTTGAAGTAGGAAACAAAATATTCTCCACCCGGCCCTCCTCCGGGGGAGGGGGTGGTGCGGTCACCATCTCCCGAAGAGCTGTCCCTTCCAACTCTGGGTTGCCTGTCTCAGGGCCACTTGCACTTCCACTTGCCACCTGGTTTGGCGGGGGCCAAACCAGCGGCGGGGTGAAAGCAGCAGCGGGCCGCCGGGGCAGGATTTGCTTGATAGCCTCCGTCTGCTTCTAGGCAGCCGAGAACTGTTGGGCAAAGCTTTCGACTGCATCACCGAAAAGGCCGGCCTGGGAGATAGGAGAGTCGAGAAAACGATATTTGTCGGTCCCACGCATATCCACCAGGTTCAGCCACAGATGGCGTTCCTGGACCACCACCGTTGGCATTGTTTGACCCAGGGATCGCGCAGTGACTTCCGTCGCTCTCAAGGTGAGGTCCATCACCGTGCGCAGCTCCTGCATCAACCCTGGGCCCTTGTGCAACTCCTTTAATGCCTTGGCCTGGTATACTTGCAGGAGTGCCATAGCGTGCAGGGCGGAAGCAGCCTGTCCAGTGGCACCGTAAGTCTTAGCAGTAAGCACGGACGAGAACTTACAGGCCCTGGATGGGAGACGAGGGTTATCCCTCCAGGTGGGAGCTCCACCGGGGGGATTGCCTCGTAACCCCTGGCTGCCCCACCATCAAGGGTAGTGAGGGAGGAGGAGGCACCAAACCGGTTTTGGGCAGAAAAAGGTGCCTTCCACAACCTGGTCACCTCCTCATGCACTTCCGGGAAGAAACGCACTGGGGCGGGGGGCTGAGAACCAGCCTGGGTCGCCCCAAGATACCAATCATCACGGAACACGGTGGCTCTCTCCACTCGAGCCCGACCACCTTGGCAGCCCAGGAAAGCATAGCCGTTAATTCTGGGTCAGGCTCGGGCAACACCACTCTCCCCGAAGGGGACAGCGCAGCCGAGTCCTCATCCCCAGACTTCAGCTCACCCTCCAATGCCGCAATCAACATCTGATCATCCGGAGGAGCACCGAATGAAATGGCCGGGCCCCCGTACGAGGAACTGACACATTCACCCGGTAGCCCCACAGCTTGCAGCGTGCTAGAGGAGTGGGGGGCCCACGGAGATGCACTCGGTGGGTTTGCCCCCACTGTAACCCTCAGGCTTCGCTGACTATTCACCGAAGTAGCCCTCCTCTGCGGAACAGAAGAGCGACTAGATCGGGGCATAGGTAAGGGGTCTTTTGATGTGTTGGAGTCTCAGCCGCAATGCCGCATTGGCCATACCGCCACAATGACGGCATGACTCATTCACGAAGGCTGCCTCAGCGTGTTCAAGGCCAAAACACGTGATGCAGACTGTCATCCGGCCCCAGGTAACGACCGCATCCAGAAACACACGGGCGGCATCACATATTTAAAAAGACGCAACGTCACACCCGTGTCTTGCTCTTTTAGGGAAATTAGCTCTTTCAGAAGTGCTGAAGCGCACAGGGGAACCACCGCTGCAGCGCCGTCACATTAACACCAGGCGTTGAAGAAGCCTCTTCTTCAGAGCGCTCGTTGACTAGTTAGAATTCCTCTCAGACGAAAAAGCTGAGTATGCGTTGCACCCGCTGCCTAATTATACTTGCGCTGCGATCAGCGGCAGCTGGATGCAATCATCGAATGCTAA